GCGCCCCCCCCCCCCCCCCCTCCTGCGGCACTCACAAAGTCCGATAGAAGTGACATTTGAGGACCGATCAGCTGTTCCGGGAAGATGTGGTCATGCAGATCGGTTCACCTGCACATGGGCAGTGAGCCGATCTGCCCTGGAACAGCCGACAAAGCGTTGGAATGCTTGCCCTAATGGGCGGTCACACATTCCACCGCTGTCAAAGTGGGTTTGATTACGTTGGAATGTTTGAACGTGTCACCGGTCACACATTCCAGCGTAGTCACAAACTTTGATAGAACACAGGCAGCCAATGGCTCTCTTCAGGTATTCTATTCGGCTCTGTCCGAGTATTCCACCAGCGGCCGCTGTCAGAATACAATAGAAACAATGGGGACACGCTCACAGTGTTGATGGAGGAATCTGCTTGGCCTGCGAGTTGAACAAAAGAATAGAGCAGTGCATGGCCAGCTTAAGTTGTCACCAGAAGATTTGTCCCCATTGATTGAGGGCTTGATCACACCAGATGCAGTGCATTCCGGCCCAATTCCAGCCAGCTCACTTTCTTGTGGGGCCGGTCCATTGAAGTGAATGGCACCGTAGCCACGTCCCCTGGCCGCACAGGATTGCAAGGCATAATATACCTGCGGTCCGGTGCGAACAAAATGCTGCAAGCACAATTTTGCTTGCACCGGACTGCAGGCATAATGTGCCTTGCGATCCCGTGCGGCTGATCGCATTGCGGCCGGAGTGCGTGGCTAAGGTGCCATTCACTTCAGTGGACCTGCCACACAAAAAAGTGAGGTGGCCACAGTGCGTTCTGGCCAGAAAGCACTGCATCTGATGCGAACAAGGCCTGATTTCCCCTCTCCTGCTTTCATGACAACTCATAACATTTTGGATTTTCACTTTATTTTTCTTTTCTTGGTGACAATGCTCTCCAGGAGAAAGAGAGGGTCAAACGCAGACTGTCATAAAATTGGGCAGATGGTCTGATATTTCTCTGCTCGACCTAAAAAAAAAAAGGTTTTGACTTTACATATTGAATACATATAAAAAGCTGAACTCTAGGGAAAAAGAACTTTTACTCCTGCAGTGGGTTCCCCTCCACACTGCACATTTTGCCTAGGGGATGATGGACGGGGTGATGTACACCAAAATCCTGGTACCAGATCACACGCATCTGATAGCTCACTACACTAAATAATGGCTGCGTTAGTTCTGCTTCCCCTGCCCGACCTTGCAGACTGGATAAAGTTGAAGAACGATGATTAGGTCATCTCCATGTTCTCCCCTCCTGGAGGCATGTTCACTGTTTGACAGAACAATACAATCTAGCAGAAGGCCTGTTGGCTCAAAGTGCTGCTCCTCTCTTACTCAGCTACTGTGCACAGAGAGAATGACAGAAACACAATATAAAGACATATTTAGACATCTATATTATCTGTGCCTAAAATACATTTTGTAGATATATTTTAAGAAGTATAAATAGCTGGATTTTTTTTTTTTTTATATTTGCTTTGATTTCTGCTTTAAAAGGAGAACTATGGGGTTAAGGCTTTCCCCCATAGTTCTCCATAGGGTAACGGGAGGACACAAACTAGCGTCCTCCCGTCACCCTAGGCTCAGTATACCGCGAGCTGTAGCTAGCAGTATACTGAGACGCCTCAGTTGAAGCGGATCGTGACAATTGTGCCGGGATCCGCCCAGCTGCGTGACTGACAGCTGGCTCTGCCTATCTAGAGGCAGAGCCAGCTGTACCCGCCCCCTCCCCTGTCCGTTCCGCCAGTCAGCGCTGGCGGATCGGAGCGGGGGGAATCCAGCCCCTCCCCTGTCACGGCAGAGAGCCGTGACAGGATCGAGAGGTGAGCGAACGCCGGTATGTGTTCGCTCACCTCCCGATCTACTGAGCCGACCTGTGACAGTCTCATTGTCACAGGTCGGCTAGAACTATGAGGTGAGTGAAAAGCACTCACCGCATATTTCTCCATTAAGAAAATTCTGCAAAGGCCCCATTTGCATCTAACCCGGCAATAGAACAAAAACACATTATTTATGGAGAAACAGTATTTCACTTACCTGTAGTACATAAAAAACAATGCTGACAACCCACTTGACTTTGGCTAGCTGGCCAGTTCTGGTTTTTACTGTTGGCATAAAAAAAAAACACAAAAAAGAACAAATAGGTTACAAAAAAAAACAAAACAAAAACCCATTAAGACATCATAGTCATTCACTGAAAGGTTTTGAAGAAAAGCGATGGACAAAATACAAAATGTATGCCGACCTAATTCCCATTTCCCAGTCAGTTTGTCCCTATTCTCCTTTTATCTATTAAAAACAATTCTTGGTGATTCTTTCAGAACTGTTGCAGATTAATTTCTTTTGAAAGTATGACAACACTCTTCTTGGTATTAAAAGAACTGCAGCGTTGTCACCCTTGTAGCACTTGAGGGTGCAAGTGATGAGTATGGCTAAGCACTTTGTCGCAACTGATTGGCCAACCTCCACCAAGTCATTCAACGGCTGGACACTCCTAGCCCCATCCACTGACTTCATGATTGACAAAAAGTCAGTACAGACCTTCCAACTGCTCGTAGGACATGTCATAGGGAAATGATGCACAAGCACTGCCGAGACCTTTTTCTTACAGAACCTGGCAGCAACATGGTTGTCGAGATCCGCCCAGCTGCGTGAGTGACAGCTGGATCTGTCTATCTAGAGGCAGAGCCAGCTGTACCCGCCCCCTACCCCGTCCGGCGGATCGGAGCAGGGAAGGGGGAATCCAGCTCCTCCCCTGTCACGGCAGAGAGCCGTGACAGGATCGAGAGGTGAGCGAACGCCGGTATGTGTTCGCTCACCTCCCGATCTACTGAGCCGACCTGTGACAGTCTCATTGTCACAGGTCAGCTAGAACTATGAGGTGAGTGGAAATCACTCATCTCATAGTTCTCCTTTAAGGCCCGGGGATGGGTACTGTAATCCCGCTCTATCTAGGTATCTTTCCCTTATTTTCTCAATGTATATGGGCAACTTGGATGTTGCTATTATCAGCTATTCTCTACAAATACATCAATTGATTGACCCATTTTTGTTTAGCGGGAGGTGCTTTCGGTGTGCATACTCAAGCATAAATGTTTGATACCAAAGAGTGCTTTGAAGTGAATGGCACCCAACAGGACTTAATCACCTTCACCAAGTCCTTCCAAACAGCCCAAACCAGCCACACTGTAGGATTTAAAGTACATGTTTAGGTCAAATTATGCCGCATGCGGGCCCCAACAGACCCCTGCTCTATCCCCCGGCCACAGGTTGGACACCCGGGTTCTGGCCCTAACCAACTCAATTATGAAATATTGTAAAGAAATCCAGCAAAATTTGTTTTTTTAAGGGTTAGTTCACATTTTCACAAGAAAGATAAAAAGGTGAACTAACTCCCAACACCCTCTGCAATTAGCTGCTGTCATGACCATCTTCAGCCAGCCAGTGCAACGTGCTGCAATGTTAAAAATGTCTCTATACAGTCATGGAGGCTATGTAGCAAAATAATGCTGGCAATGCTAAGTGGTCATAGGTCAGCAATGTAACATGACCATGTGATACCAATGGGGATGCCCTCTGGGCCTTCTTTCTTCCATGACAACATCCTAGATTCTCACTGGTCACTGTGGTCATGTTGCCATGCTAACAAATTACCACTCACCGTGGCATGTATTATGGTTCTGTGTAATGAGGTGTGAGGTATGCAGACCATCATGCCGTATGACACGGTCATCGATGGTCATAACTAGGGATGCACCAATACCGGTAGTTCGGTATCGAGTATAGATATTTTTCAAGTACCGATATTCCCCGAATACCAAGCACCGGAAGTCCCATTCAGGAAGCCAGGTGGCATGTAATGGCTCGCCACCTCGCTTCCTGATTAGCCGGGAAGCGTGTAAAGACTCGCCACCCAGCTTCCCGATTAGCAGGAAAGCTGTCCCCATGCTTCTCATCACTAGGTGACGAGAAAGCATGGAGCCGGCTTTCTGGCCAATCAGGAAGCTGGGCGCTGTGCAATGACGTGGCGCCTGACTTCCTGATTGGCCCAGGAAGCCGGCTGCATGCTCCCTCGTCATGAGGTTAGGAGGGAGCATGAAGCCGGCTTCCCGATCAATCAGGAAGCCGGGCAGCGTGTAATGAGGCGCTGCCCGGCTTCCTGGTACTGGAAGTTTCGGGCTAGGCATCGGAGCATTTGGGCGAGTACAAGTACTCGCCCAAATACTCAGCACCAATACTAGTATCGGTATTGGTGCATCCCTAGTCATACCAGCAGCTATGTGCAGTGGGGATTGGGGTAGTGTGTTCTGAGTTAGTTCAACTTTTCAATTTTTTTTCCATCTGTGTCCCAATGGAGAGATTTCCCTATCCTGTAGACACAACTGCAAGTAAAGAGAAAATCTGTTCAAAATAAGGGTAATGCCATTTTGGATGACATCAGAAAAAGTGTCCCCATCGAAAGATCTCACTTCAGCTCTTGTTCTGGTGACAACTCAACAATTGGGATTTTTTCCTCGCTTTCAGTTGTGGTGACAAGAGATGAAATAGAGATGGCGAATCCTCCAAATGAAACATTTAACAGAAGTTCTAACTCCTCATCACTCTAGCCAAAAAAGAAAAACACTTTTGAAAAAATATCAACATGCTTTAAAAAAAAAAGTAAAATGCAATCAGCTGCCTTCATAGCAGAAGCAAGCATTTACATTTAGGCCCCATTCACACTGAGCAACATGAAAATCGCGCGATTTTCCGTGCGATTTTATATGTGTCCTATTGCACGACTTTTTCCTATTGGGCTGTATGCAATCAGGAGCAAAATCGCTCGAAATCCGCAGAAAAAAGGGTCATGTAGGAGCGACAAGCTGCAAGTGATATTGAGCGGCGAGATGTGAACAGCTCCATTGAAATGTAGCTTCTCCAATCCATTTCAATGGAGCTGTTCACATCTCGCCGCTCAATATCACTTGTAGCTTGTCGCTCCTACATGACTCTTTTTTCTGCGGATTTCGAGCGATTTTGCTCCTGATTGCATACAGCCCAATAGGAAAAAGTCGCGCAATATCGCAGATATAAAATCGCGCGGAAAATCGCGCGATTTTCATGTCGCTCGGTGTAAATGGGGCTTTACAGTACATGCCTTGTGAAGGAGACCAGTCAACTGATTTAAGTGGTGCACGAAGGTCAATGCACCATAAAGATCAGCTGCTGGTAGAACTTTTATTTCTGATGAAGCACATTAGTATCCACACAACCACCAGTGGCTAAATATATTTGACCTATGATGGAGAATGCTGCAAAAAATGAACCAAAAACAAGAACGACAAGCTCATTAAAGAATATGTAGAGAACACCACAAAGAATCCATGCAGATATTGGAAGTTCTTCTGTATGGAAAAAAGGTCTGCCTTTGTAAAGCCAACAACAACGATAACAAAATAAAGTTTCATAGAGTCACGACAGACAACAATGAACACTTTGCCTACAACAAATATTACAGTATTTGAACATTCAAGTTCTTCATAAAAAATTTCCTGAGGCTCCTGCCGGGATGTTCACATGATGACTCCTGCTGTTCTTCTCACCTTCTCCATACTGGATGACAAAGCTTAGTTTACATGTAGATTGCTGTGAACAAGTGATATTTGCACAGTATTCAGATTCTATGGTTCAGACACTTAACACAACAAAGGGCTCTACATGGTTCAACCCACAAAGGTGTTCTTTATGTAGAGTATTTATAACAGAAACAGTTTTCAAGGCCAGCACAGTAGAAAGACATAGGGGATTCCATCACTGTTAAGGTGCCCATACACTGCACGATTCTCGTACGAGAATCACGGGATATCCCGCGATCGTACGAGAATCGTGCAGTGTGAATGAAGACGTGCGACCGTTTCTACTATACGGTCGCACGTCTTTTGTCTAAGGAGCATGGTAGATGCTCGGGAGACAAATGCCGAACGGGCCGGTGTGCGCACGCGCACACTGCCCGTTCAGCATTGCTGTCATCGGAAGCCCGCCCCTCAGGGGAGCGTGCTTGCGATGATCGAGAGTACGATCTGCCTGTCCAAGATGGGCAGATCGTACGTTTTTTTAATTACTTTACAACCATCGCAAGACTAAGGTCTTGTGATGGTTGTAAAGTGTATGGTCACCTTTACAGAGAACTAAACCCTTAGGCCAAATTTACCCAAAGACTTGTATGTTGGGTTACTTCAAGCCAATTTGTGGGCATGTCTTTTATTTTTTAAGTAAACTTCCCCCAAACCACTTTAGGCCTCATTCTAACGAGAAAAGGTCGGCACGTACAGCTCCGTGCTGCGTGCGCAGCCGTATCGGGCAGCTCCCAGGAAGGACAGGTGCTGCATGTGATTAGTACGCAGCTCCCGTCCTTCTCTATGGGAGTACGCCGCCGTACGCTCACACGCCCTGCACGTCCGTGCGGGTGTCCTGTCAGCGTACGGACGTGCAGGGCGGGTGAGCGTAGGGGGGCATACAGCCGCGTACTCCCATAGATAAGGACAGGGGCTGCGTGCTAATCACACGCAGCACCTGTCCTTCCCGGGAGCTGCCCCATACGGCTTCTCTTGCGCCTGTAGTAAAGTTGTCCCAGTCCAATACAGTTGTAATCAAAATTATTCAACCCCCCAACCTGCAAAACAGGTTTATTGGCAAAATGTACAGACTTTCAGCTGTTTGCAGTGCGCAAATCAAACAAAAGCAATTGAAATAGATCAACACAACAAATGTTTCCAATGGTTTCCCCAAATTCAACAGAAAATGCTAATTTTAATGACTTCTGCAGTCTCAAAATGATTCAACCCCTTCATGGCAAGCATCTTTAGTACTTAGTAGTGCACCCTTTGGCTGTTGTGACCCGCTGCAAACAAGATGCATAGCCAGACACCAGCTTCTGGCAACGTTTCTGAGGAATCTTACACCATTCCTCATGAGCAATGGCCTCCAGTTCACTAACATTCTTGGGTTTGCATGCTGCAAACACCTTCTTCATATCCCACTGGATATTTTCTATTGGGTTTAGGTCAGTGGACTTTGTGATTGGCCACTGTAGAATCTTCCAAGACTTCTTCTGCAACCAAGCTTT